GGCAGCTTACATCATTCTCTTCTCCTCCATTTTATCCTTATGACAACCCTGTGACGTAGGTTAGGCTATATAATTGGCTCAAGTTCACCCAGTGAGCTTCCAGGTATAAGTGGGGAACTGAACTCTGGTCTCCCAGATATCAGTCCAACACTCTTAACTCCTACACCACACTGGCTCTAATTTGTATCCTAATATAAGATGCCCCCCCTTTTTGATGGCATACCTGGAAAAAAAACCTACTTATATTTTGATGTTCCTTATTTTTACCATCTGTTCAAATAGGTAGCATTAAGATGGTGCTATCTTTGAAAAGACCGCAGTATGTAAAATCTGTAATTACCTCGCAATCCTCAAATAAAGTTATCCCCCCATGAATCTCAGATTGAGTGTATAATTTTACCACTTTCCCCATTAGTTTCCAAGTATTAGCCTGATTATTAGGCGAACCATGTGCCTCCTTGACCTGTGCCCCTCATGGCCAGTGAAGGCTGGAGGCAATGTTGAGGGAGTTTGTTAAACGGTCCCTGGAAACAGGGCCCTATCTGGAGGGCCTTAAAGAGGCTGTGGTTACACCACTCTAGATAAAACCAACTTCGGGTCCTTCTGATACGGTCAATTACTGCCCAGTTTCAAATTTGTCATTCCTGGGTAAGGTAATTGAGAGCGGTGGCTGAACAGCTCCAGAGTTTCCTGGATGAGACATTGGCATTGGATCCATTCCAGAACGGCTTCCGCCCCGGCCATGGGACAGAGACAGTACTGGTCACCTTGGCAGATGATCTCCATAGGCAGCTGGATCAAGGCAGGTCGGTGCTGCTATTGCTATTAGATCTTACAGCAGCATGCGACACACCCAATTATGATTTTTTGACCCACCACATTGTCGATGTGGGAGTTTGCGGGATAGCCCTTCAATGGCTTACCTCATTCTTCCATGTTCGGGGGCAGAGGGTAGTGCTAGGAGAGAATATGTCCTCTAGACACCCCCTGGAGTGTGGGGCTCCTCAGGGGGCACTTCTCCCCCCGATGTTATGTGACATCTATATGCACACCCTCGCCAAGCTGGCACGGAGTTTTGGCCTTGGGTGTCACCAGTATGCTGATGAGACCCATCTGTATCTGCTTTTGGATGGCCACCTGGATGCCACCCCACAAAATCTGCCCATGAGTTTGGAGGCCGGGGATGTGATAGTTAAAAAAGAGCAGGTTGAAACTGAATCTGACAAAGACGGAGGTTCTGTGGTGGGAGGGGGCTCGTGTTCAGCTTACCTGCTCTTGACAGGGCACCACTGGTACCGGCGCAGTCCATTAAAAGCTTGGGTGTGATCCTGGATGCCTTTCTAAATATGTCGGCCCAGGTCACACATACAGCCAGGCTGGCATTTTTCCATCTACGCCAGGCCCGGCAGCTGGCCCCTTTCCTGTCGCACGCTGACTTAGCTACAGTAATCCATGTGATGGTCACCTCCAGGCTAGACTAATGTAACTTGCTTTATGCTGGCCTGCCCTTGAGACTGACCCAAAAGCTCCAACTAATCCAGAATGCGATGGCATGAGTCCTGACAGGAGCATCACAGACTGTACATGTTCAACCTGTACTGTGCCAGCTGCACTGGCTTCCAGTGGAGCAACGAGTCAAGTTCAAGGTTTTGGTTTTGACCTTCAAGGCCTTGAGGGGTTAGGGACCAAGGTATCTGCAGGACCACCTCTTCCAGTACACCCCCCGGGAGAGCGTTGCGCTCTGCACAGAACAACTTGCTGGTGGTCCCTGGCCCTAGAGACATCCGGCTGTCCTCAACCACCAACCTGGTGGAACTCTCTGCCAAATGACATCGGGGCCCTGCGGGATCTTTTGCAATTCTGCAGGGCCTGCAAGGCAGAGATGTTCCGCCAGGCCTTTGGTTGAGGACAGTGGCACATTATGACTGGCACCCTTCCCAGACCTCTGCCCCCTAAGGATTTAATTCCTCCACCACCCCATACCCATGAGACACCCACAGGCCAGAAATGGGAGGGAACCTTAAAATGTTGCCACTTGATTTTAATTAATGGATTATATCTGTTGAAAATGGTGTTTATGGTTTTTATTGTTTAATCGCCTAGAGTCCCACAGTTGTGGGGATTAGGCAATTAAAAATGTAAATAAATAAATGTTTCAGAAATACTGTTAGAAAGACAAGGTAGGTGACAGAAAACAGATACAGTTCTCATATTTTTTCCTGAACATGTTCTTCCTCCAAGACTGCAGGGCAAGCCGAAATATCACCATATGCTCCATATGCCGTTTGTCTTAAACTGCAAGGTGTCGCAGTCTATATATGTGTTGCCCTAAAACCTGGGAGGACCAGGTATGCTGCCCTGAATACCTTGAGGAAAAATGATAATATGACTGCATTCTCCAGTAAAACACTCGCTTTTATAATGGTGTTCCATTCACACGACCCAGAGTTTGGCAACCACATTTGGAGGCTGTAATATGTATGACTGCCATGTCGCATACATCAGACAATGTGTTTTCCATATGAATGTTGAACGTTCTAGCGCATATGGATGAAAATCCATGTGCTGCCCTCTTCACACCATAGGTTAATCCTATCTACTGCGCTCCCTAACACCGTCAACATCTGCAGAGGTTCCGAAGTTGGTATAGTAATCTGGCTCGGTGGTTGAAATTTATACAGCAATGCGACACCCATTTTAAAATATCACTAGTTCAGTCTTCCAGTGCTAGGATATGCTTCCTGACAAACTTCAAAATTCCTGGTTTTGTTAGCTGAAAGCTGTAAACAGCAGCCTGGAAGAGAACAAGCTACACTTGCTCGGGTTGCACCGTGTATTTGCTTAGAAGTAATTCCCAACAAACGTCTGTATAGTCAAAGCCATGGTATTCCCAGTAGTACTGTATGGCTGCGAGAGTTGGACCATAAGGAACGCCATTAGAGCGCTGAAGAATAGATTCTTTTGAATTATGGTGCTGGAGAAGACTCTTGAGAGTCCCCTGGACTGCAAGGAGATCAAATCAGTCAATCCTAAAAGAAATCATCCCTGACTGTTCCCTGGAAGGCCAGATATTGAAGCTGAAGCTCAATTACTTTGGCCACCAAATGAGAAGGGAGCACTCACTGGAGAAGAACCGGATGCTGGGAAAGATAGAAGGTCAAAGAAGAAGGGGACGGCAAAGGATGAGATGGTTAGACAGTGTTCTTGAGGCAACGAACGTGAAATTAAGCAAACTCCGGAGCACGACGGAGGGTCTGGGTAAAGGTCGGATCTAAATGAATCCTCATGTTCATATGATTTTTACTCTGAAACTAAATAAAACCACCATCATATTGTAGGCCATGTGTTAGTCTACAAGGGGCACCACAAAAATCACGCACCCACAGATTCGTGGCACCACAGCAGCACAAAAACATGATTCCAAAGGATGAATCCTCATGAATTCATATGATTTCTATGCTGGAATGAAATAAAACCTACATCATACTGTAGACCATGTCTTAGACTATAGGCAGCACTCCAAAAATCATGGCCCCATGAATTCGTGGCACCACAAAACTGCAAAAACATGGTTCCAAAGCATGGGTCTTCAGGGTTTATCAATTGGGTCTCCAGAAACACACCATCAAATCACATAACATGTCCATGGCCACAGCTTGCACCACAAAAATCACAGATCCACGGCTTTGTGGTGACACCATTCTGTAAAAACATGATTCTGAAGCACGGATCCTCATGGATGCTTGGGGTTTTTGTGTTGGGACACCCCAAACATACCATTAAATCGCTTATCATGTCCTTGGTCACAGCCTGCACCACAGAAATCACGGTGCCATGGCTCTGGCAACACCAGACCTCGGACATCACAAGCGAGAGGTGGAATTTGTCCCTACGAGTCCAAGGCCACCACCCCGGGGCTCAGGGAGGCGGAGGAAAGTTTTGTCCCCCCTGCCGTCACCGCTGCAGCCATTGCAGCTGCCGCCGACAGTGCCGGTGGCCATAACATTGCATCACACACGAGAGGTAGAATTTGCCCCTACGAGTCCAAGGCCACCACCCCGGGGCCCAGGGAGGCAGAGGTACGTTTCGCCCCCCGCCACGGCCATTGTAGCTGCCAACAGCGCCATGGGATTTAATTGTATGTTTGGGGTGTTCCGATACAAAAACCCCAAGCATCCATGAGGATCCGTGCTTCAGAATCATGTTTTTGCAGAATGCTGTCTCCATGAAACCGTGGATCTGTGATTTTTATGGTGCAAGCTGTTGACGTGGATGTGTTATGTGATTTGATGGTGTGTTTCGGGTGACCCAGTTGAAAAACTGTGAGGATCCATGCTCCAGAACCATGTTTTTGCAGTTTTGTTTTGCCACGAATTTGTGGGGGCATGATTTTTTTAGTGCTTCCTATAGTGTAAGACACGGTCTACACTATGATGTTGGTTCTATTTCATTCCAGCATAGAAATCATATGAATTCATGAGGATCCGTCCTTTGCAATCATGTTTTTGCGCTGTTGTGGTGCCACGAATCCGTGGGAGCGTGATTTTTGTTGTGCCCCCTATAGACTAACAAATGGCCTACAATATGATGGTGGTTTTATTTCGTTTCAATGTAAAAATCATATGAATTCATGAGGATCCATGTGGATCCGACTTTTACCCTTTTCCCACGACGGAAAACAGGAGGGCCTGGCGTGATGTGGTCCATGGGGTCGCGAAAAGTCGGACTCGACTGTGCGACTGAACAATAACAACAAAAATCCCCGCTTAATTCAATGGGAGCAACTCCCAGGGTCGTGTGCTAAGAACCGCGGCCCAATTAGCCAGTTCCCTCGGTAATCTCAAGGCACCAACCCAAAACGGAAGCCTACTTTCAACCCCCTTTATCCAGCCAGCTTGTCTCACTCATGCGCCCTTCAAAGGAAACGTCACTTCCGATGCGGCGGAGGAGAGGCGCCGGAAGTGGCTTCTTGTCGGTAACGGACCTGGTTGTGGCGTTGGGTCGTAGCGGCTCCATCGAGAGCGTGTGGCTGCGCCGGGGGTAGCCGAGACGGCAGACTGGCACCATGGTGGAGGTGAGGGGCTGGCAATTCCTCTCCGGGGTTCGCTGTGGGGGAGACGCAGATTTCTTTCTCAGCCGTGACCGGTTAGAGGCCTTCGTGCCTCTTCCTGCTCTTTTCGGGATTCAGGGCTCGCAAACCTGTTCTTCTCCGGGATGCTAGCCGGCCGGAGGAAGCAGTTCCTTGGGGCGGACTTTCAGCTTCGTGTGTGTCGGTGGCGGAGAAGGGAAGCGCGTTGAGAGAATTTCCTCCCTTTCACCATTTGGGTGAAGATACCGGGGGGGGGGGGGAGTGAGGAACTACAATTTGGAGAGTGTTTTATGTTCTCCTGGTTTGTACAAGAGAAACGGAACTGTTACTAAAAATAAAGAAAAAGGAATCTCGTGGCACCAGAAAGTCTTTTGGTTTGACTTAGGCATGGATTTCGCGGGCTGCTTTATTGGAAGTATGAAGTTGGCAAACACACACACACAGGCATATAATTAGTATTAATTAAGATTGGCTTGTTAGGGCTCAGTTATGGTGAGAGACTCCTTTCGCACTGCAAACATTAAATTTGCTAAGCAATATTGTGTTTTCATCTTTTACTGTTGCTGGGAATGACTGTTGTACTTATTTTGGTTATATTTGGACTTAAGAGATGCTGCAGTCTGTATATCTTGTATTTAACTGCCATTTGATCTAGTTAGGGTACAGTCTGTGCTCATGGTGAAATGGACTCTAGTCCATACAAAGGCATGCATCACAATAAATGTGTTAGTCCTTGAGGTACCACAGAAGTCCTTGTATATTTGCTTCCATAGACTAACACAGCTGTCTCTAGAATTTTACTAGATTCAGTAGCAGGGGAGGGAGACAGAACTTTATGAAAAAGCATGTCCTCAGATTGCAAAGGTTTTCATTTCAGTCCCTGGCATCTCCACTTAAAAATAGTCTCTCATCTTGCAATTAGGCAGCCTGAAGCCTTGCTCCCTGCGATGCCTTGCACAGATCCCTGGTGGGTAGAGATGAGATGGGATATTGGAAGGGCAATATTAGTTGGTATCTGATCTATGATACTGTCGTTAGAACTCATTCAAGACTGTTTTTTGAAAATAAATACTTATACCCTGGTTTGCTGCAGTTTTCACCCAGGGTGACTCACACACAAATAAAAAGTTAGAAGTTTCTTTTTATTCCAACTGCGTCCACTAAAACCACAGTGACAATAGGAGAGCTGTCTTTCTATTCCAGAAACAGGCTGCTGAGATGGTACCTAATACAAGACGCTCTGTTAAGAGGCAAGTTCTCCTGGGCCAGTTGATGGCTCCTTCTTAGTAGTGCCAGTAGCAATTGGAGAATCTGGGGAACAGCTTACAAGGGGTTTTTTTATGTCCTCATATTGTCCTGCTAGTTTCTTCAGGCTGGCTGGAGTCTTATGAGAGCAGTGTGATGGCAATTAGGTCTGTCAGGCCCTTCTGCCAAAACGCAAGACTAACAGTGTTGCAGAGCTCCGAAGGCAAACAGTGTCATGCTCCTTGAACTCTTAAGTGTCATGAATACAAAGATGTGCTGCACATGAAGATGGAAATCGAGGGTTGCGGTGCTGGTTAAAAAAATAGCCATGTAATACCTTTTATTAGGACCTTCAGTAGACAACATCTTCAACACACTATCCTGACTTGCAGCTATTATCCAAAATTCTAACAGCAGAGAGACCTAAAGAAGCACACAGTGCATGGAAAACGAGCAGACAAACCCTAGAATGTTAACTAAACATCAGTTGAGCCACGCAGAGAGTGAAGGACAAGATGTCAGCTTGGCAGGTTGAAGTATAAGATTAGCAGCAGGTGGGATAAACACATGCTAATGGATGTCTTCTTGGCCAGAAATGTTTGAGTATGTCAGTGTGTTGTATATCCACTAATTCAGTTAGAAAAATTGCATTTTTAATATAGCAACACCAGCATGGTAGAGAGTAACCTAAGCACTCTAAAAGAAAGGTCCAAGCCCCCATGGAACTTATCACCTAAACATAGATGGTACAGAAGCAAAGATGATATTGAGGAAGGATAAGTTTGTACTATGCACAGTATGAAATTCCTTATTGAAAGTATTTTGAAAGTACAGTGGCTTGAATCTGATCTACATTTTTGTGGACAGAAGGGGGGGGGTGATATTTTTGTCAATTCCACCCTCCTGTAGGAGACCTCTGATTTTCTAAAACTGTTCCTGGAGGTTCCCCCTCCCCTAGGAGTAGCATGGGGGGCATGTTGGGCTGAAATGGTGGGCAGGAATTGTAAAAAATTCCCCACCTCCTCCTTTTTCTGTATAAATTCTAGATGGGGTCCAATCCATTAAATTCACCTTAAAACAAAGTTGCTTTTGTGTAGCATAGGTACAAAGGCATTTGATGTATTCTCAGGATACAGAAGATTTGAGGGAAGATTGGTTTTCATATTTGAAAATCAAATTCCCATAACCATATGCTGAGCATAATCAGTTCTTTGTTGAAGGCAGTTGTGTTAAAAGATTCCAGTATCACAAAATTCCTCTGGACTGTTAATATTACCACACATCAATAAAATTCAAAATTTAGTTCATGGGTGTAACACTAACATCTGTTAAAACAATTAAACAACAAGTGGTAGTGAATTTGAGCCAACATAAAATGAGCACCAGTCCTGTGATCTTGGGCAAACTTCAAAGTAACAGATCGTGTTTAACATTATGTAAATAATTTGTGTTTGTTTATCCACTTTTTTAAATGGGGGCAATAAATTCAGAGCAGCCCAGTCCTCTTAATATACATGAAAAATGACTTGTTATACTGGTGGTGAAAAGCTTCAGATGTTCAGATTTGTGCCCAGATCACCTTAGAATGGAAAACAGACTGCTGACCCTGAAGCATCACTCTAAGTCCTTGATCTTGACCCTCTCCGGAAAGCAAGAAACAGTTAGCTTCACAGTTCATTGAGAAAGTAGGGTCAGAACAAAGCACCATTTTTAGCATTGATCCCTTAGTGTATACTGTTCCAAAGTAAACACTTACTAGACTGAAGCTAAGAATTCAATTGCATGCTTTATTCATGTGTCCTTGAAATTTTGCTGCTTCTCAAATGGATGAGGAAAAAATAAACTATACCACGTAGTGGAAAACAGAATAAAGGCAAGGTATAACAATTGAATGCTATATATTAATTTGGTAATTTGGTGCCCAGTGCCAATGTTACTATATGTTACATGTTTTTATAACTTAATTTAAGATTTTAATGTCTGTTGTACTTTTATGTTAAAAGCATTTTAAAGTTGCTTTTCTAAACTGCTTGTATTCACTTACATAAAATAAAAACATTTTTCCAAAACAAAATAAATTTACATGAAAGTAGCTTAGAACACCCAATGAAACGTCAGCCAGATATGAGTTGAAATAGATGCTTTATGGAAAGTGCTAGAGGTCTTCAGGAAAGTGGGTTATGGGACACTTTTTACCTTATTCCAGAGTCTAAAGGCCTAAGTGGTAAAGATCCAATTCCTGGCTTGTTGGTATTCCAGTCTACCACAGAGAAAACATTCATAGCAGGGCTTGATTTCCTGACTCTGGCTGACACGCAGGTTGATATGAATTCAGTTTATTAGATTAAAATCCATAATCAGTAAATAACTGACTTTAGCAGGATGCAGGATTTCAGTTCTGAGAGAGAAGAAGGAATCCCTGATAATCTGTATGGAATAGGAAGAAGCAGCTGGCTGTTTTGACTGCTGCAGAACTTAGTGCAATGTAGGAAACGTGCCTCCCCCTCACCTCCCTTGACTTGGGAGGTGGGAGGAATATGTTGTATTACATTGCGTTTTGGAGCTGGTAGGTATGTGTGGAAGACCTGAGAGGGGCCCATGGCAACCACAAATAATGGCTGCCTAGTAAGCCAAGCCCAAATTTGTGAATCTGTCTTTTATGAACTTATTTCCCAAGGTATACCTGAAACTTGCCTCTTGTTTAGGAAGTGCAGAAGCACTCTGTGCATACCCTTGTGTTCAGATCTTTGAAGAGAACTCATGACATGTTTGTGGCAGACAATGCAAAACCTGTAGCATTGGATGAGAAGAGGTAAGACTGATCTTATGTTGTTAATACATTTGATGTTGCAGCCTAGTGCAGAATTGTAATGTGAATCCCTTTATCTGTTCTTCCACGGTTGAACAGACTTTAGAAATGAGGTGACTCTGGAGGATTTGCGTTATCATTTTATAAGTTCTATTACTTACAGAGATAGGAGAGGCAGAAAGTTAATTAGGCTGTGTTCCTCCAAACACCACAGTGTTTGGATCCTCATTTATCTGTGGCAAAACCTGATTTTACTTTCAAAGCTTGAAGCTGTATGAACTTAATTGAGTTTACATGGCCATCAAAAATGATTTGTCTGGGGCATAAAGAAATCACATCTAGAAATTAAGAGCTCCAGTAATATGTCTGTTGGCTGAAATGTGGGTAAACTGAATGTGAAGCAACCCATGCTTCAGTAGTTTTTATTTTTTGTGAATACTTCTGTGAATGTATGTGAATCTGAACTATATATCCCATCAAATACTTATTTTAATAAAATGTCTCAAAATATTAATAAAGTGTTTTCTTAAACAGCCACAAATTAAAGATGTCAGTAAAACTTCATACAGAGTATAATTCTGTGCTGCACATGCCTGTATTGAAGGAAAATGCTCGAGAGAAGGGTTCTCATAATGCCATTGATTCCTATGGTCATAAGCAGTATCTTCAAAATCAAGGTACGGGGATAATTTCCATTCTGTTCAGCTGTAGAAAACTCTCTGTATCAGTTCACCATTTGATTACTAGCTCTTTTGTATTAGAATTTCACATTTAGTAATAGTACTTTATGTTAGCATATGGTAAGATACAAGCTCCTCACTTATTCAGGATATATCCAGCACATGTAACATTTGTTTGGTTGAAATGTTTGTGTGTACTGCCGTTCTTTAATAGGATTTATAAATTAAACCTTAACATTGGCTTTCACTATGCATGATTTCTAATGAAAATATACCTGTGATGGTGTGTGATTCGGAACCAAATTAATTGATTGACATTACTATGAAGCAGTAATAAATCTCTTACTATATAGGAGAAGATAATGAATATTTGATAACAGGAACACACCCATATCCTCCAGGACCTGGTAAGTAATCTTTTGGATAAACTTGTGTTCAGTAAAAGCTTGCACTATCATAACATAAAAATTTAAGCGAGATATTTATGATCATGGATGCTCTACTTAATGGTTTGGAAGAGAATATAGATATTAGTTGTTCAGGAGGGTCCACCAAGTAAGCATCTTTATTGACTTTAGTGAACTTCTTGCATTATCAATCCCCATGTGTTAAAATGTGTTTGAAATGCTGAAACATTTTTACTCTTGAAACATTTAGATTAGCTGAAAGGGAGGAAATTCATTCCTGTATGGAGAAGATATCAGACATTTCTATGCTGTAAGTTAGTTAAAATGGAGACAAAAATAGAAACACATCCCTATGAAAGAGTTTTAAAGTTAGAGATTTCCAAGTGGTATCTTAAAAGAGTTATGCCTTCTTCACTGGAGATTTTGCTTTGTTCAGTGATCAGTGAATCTGGGTCCCCCCCCCCCTCCTAGAGTTTGGATTTAGAGTTTCAGTGGTCACCTTCACAGAAACTCATTTGGACCATGTGAACTGAAGCTTTACAATATTGACTGCAACTAGCACTGCTATTTGTGCAGATTTCATTGTGTTCCCAAAAGTGCAAAACTTGAATTTCAGTAGAATTAAACTAGCAAGACCAACAGTGCAATCTTACACAGAGGTACTGCAGTCTAAGCCTGTTTCTGTATAAAAAAGGTAAAGGTTTCCCTTGCTCGAAAGCTAGTCAAATCTGACTCTAGGGGATGGTGCTCATCTCCGTTTCCAAGCCGAAGAGCCAGTGCTGTCCAAAGACATTTCTGTGGTCATGTGGCCGGCATGACTAAACGCCAAAGCACACAGAATGCTGTTACCTTTCCACTACTTGCAGTTTCTTGCTTTCGAACTGCTAGGTTGGCAGGAGCTGGGGCCAGAGACAGGAGCTCACTCCATCACGTGGCACTAGGGTCTCGAACTGCCAAACTACAGACTGCAGCTCAGCGTCTTAACCTCTGAGCCACCATAGCCCCTATAATATTGAACTGTATAATATTGAACTGTAAATCAGCCAAAAGGATCGCAGTGATAGATGCATGGGATTAAGAATAATGTACAAGTTTTTAGTGTGGGTATGCGTTAGGAAGAATTAAATAATAAGCATTTATTTGTTGACAAAAGGTTATTGAGATACTTTTGGTTTGGTTGAGCTTTGTTGTAAACATGGTGTATTTTCTTTCTTACAAGGAGTGGCCTTGACAGCAGATGCTAAAATCCAGAGGATGCCCAGTGAGTCAGCGGCTCAGTCCTTAGCTGTGGCACTGCCACCTTCTCAATCCAAGTAATTTTTTTAGTCATTAAAACACGATAAATTAAAAGCATACAACCACAAACGTTTTCAGGTTAGCTCAGAAAATACAATTCAAAATGCAGCAATTTAAATTTCAGTGAATTCATTAACAAAGATGTGCTCAGTTTTGACCTGATCTGGATAGCCCAGGCAGGTCCAATCTCGTTAGACCTTGGAAGCTAAGCAGTGCTGATGCTCCCTTTAAGTTATGGAGTCATCTGAGCAAAAATTCTACTTTGTGAGCTACTGGCGTTAAAGTTGTGAGCAAGTGATTTGGCTACTGTATAAATCAGTTTGCTCTGGAGCCATCCTTCCTGAGCTAAGACAAAAATGTGTGAGCTGGAGGATAAAAACTGTGAGCTAGCCCACACTTACTCAGCTTAAAGGGAACACTGCATTCCCTGGTAAGTATTTGGGTGAGAGACCTCCAGAGAATACCAAGGCTAGAGGCAGGCTATCAAACCACTTCTCTGAATGTCCTCCATGCCCCAGTAGGAGTCACCAGAGTTTGCTATGACTTCCAGGCATGGGTGTGTGCGCACACACACACAAGGAAAACAAAAATATGTGCTCAGTTTTAATTTCACTCTTCCCAGTTTCACATAGATGCCACACAAATGTTGATAGCCTCCCCCATTCTTCTGTACAGTTTTATAAGATTAAAGCATTGAATGTTGTTTGAGGGATGTATGATGCTGAACCATTTTCCCCACTTGTCTCCTGCCATAGTTGTATCTCTAACAGTGCTAATCACCACTTTGCAGCTGAGGGTGATGAGAAGTTAACATAATTGCAGCTGTAAAGGTCTCTTTTCCACCCTCTGAGTGAAACAAAAAGGTTTGCTGGATCTTCTGAGGAGAGTTAGTTTGCATAGTGGCTAAGAATTTGAGCAGGAAACATGGGTCAAATATGTCCTCAAATTGTGAATTAGCTAAGGGCTCTGACCTTTCTCTCAGCTGTAGTGCCCCATCCACAGTATTGCTGTCCCCCCATGTACAGTAATAACAGCCTACATTACAGGGCTTCTGTTAAGACAACAAAGATAAAGAAGAGAAACTGGGTAAGCCACAAGCTGACACCAGTATACCACACTCAACACTGTTAAGAGTATCTGTGGGAAGAGTGTCCCATAACTGAGATGCCGCCACAGAAGAAGCTTGTTTTGCATGGCTTTCCACCATATTTCAGGTAACAGTGGCTCACCAGACAGGGTCTCATATGAGGACTTTAGTAATCGGGTTGGTTTGTGTGAGAGTAGGCAGTCCTTCAGATATCTTGTTCTGGTACCGTGAAGGGCTTTAAAGGTCATAACCAGCATAACTAGGGAGTCAAACTGGATTTAAAATGTAGCCATTTTAAATGTAGCACTTCTTCTGTGGACCAGGATTGAACCTGATCTAAAATCTCTTGGTTGTCTTGTTCCTGAATCAAAGACCTTCACAGAAAAATTATCTGTTTTTAGTTCTGGTTTGGTTTGACACCTGACACAGAAGACACATATGCTTTTATAATGTATACCAGATAGTAGTCTTGCTGTGGTACATTGAACTAGTTATTCTAAGCTGTCTTCAAAGGCAGCACCATCTAGATCACATTGCAATAGTCTACCTTGGATGTGCTTAAAAGTTAGACAACCGCGGCCAAGTCCTGTTTCACAATGATAGTCCATAGCAGGTGAACCAGCTGAAGCTGGTCAGAAGTGCAATATGCCACGCCGGCGATCTGAGCATCCTGTTTTAAAAACACGCCCCCAACTTCAAAGATGTTATTTTAAGGGCACTGCAGGCTGACTCCTCAATCCTTGACTTGGTATAGAATCAACCATTAGTACATCCATCATGTCTGGATTGTACTTCAGTTTCTTGGCTGTTATCCAGCCTGTTCCCATATCCAGGCATTTGTTTAGACTAGAGATGTAAAATTTCCAGAAACGTTTAAGCTCGGAAAAAAACCTGTTTTTTGGGGGGAGAAACGGAATTTTTCGGGAAAATTAGCACTTCTTTTTTCTTTTTCAGATTGAAAGTCATTCTGTTACTTTAGGAACATAAAATATGACTATGGACATTTTTACTTGGCATGAAATTATCACAACTAGCATATTAAAAATATAGTGTATCCAAACAATTATTACAAACAGAATACCCACCCACATGCAAAAACAAAACTGAAACCTTTTTCTTTTCTTGTGACAATAGCACCTCCTAAAGGAAGAAATGCATCTTGTTCTTGCATTGGAGAGTTCAGTTTGTAACCTAGGACTTGCTTGTCCTCAGTGCACAGAAACTAGATCAATCTGATATCATACATATTTTTTAGAAATGATTTGGAAAATATTTGAACACCCGAATTTTTCCGGGTTTTTTCAGGGCCTTCACATCTCTAGCTTAGACCATCCCCTTCCTTACTGGATTATGTTGAAAAGGACATGTAGATAGTACTTCCTTTTGACAAATCATTTCTGGATTTTGGCCTTATTTTCTAAGCTGTCATAATACCCTTTGTCTTTATATTTATGGTAAGCACACAGGGTTTTTGAATATAATAAGCATATTGCCAGTTATTTGGAACTAGATATTCTGTCAAAACTTGATATAGTACAGCATCTTAACGTTTTCTCTGCCTTGCATCCACTGTTTTCTGCTCTTCCAGAATAGAAGCAAATCGAACTGCTGCTGGTGTAGGTGATATATACAGACATGCTGGGATTCCTGAGCGTTCACAGCCTACAGGGTTGAGCATGGTAAGTATTACTGGAGAATTGCTGGTCAATATGTGGCAGGTCCCTCAGGTTGGATTTCAATTTTGTGGTAGGTTTCTTAGCCTCTAGATTTTATGAACAATTACAGTATGTACTGTGAAGCATTATTTTAAGGGATCTAAAGAATAATTGGAGCTCTGAGATCAGGAACTAATATTTGTAAGTAAAAGTATGTTTAATTTATAGGCTCTGATGGAAGCAGTTGGGAACAAAAATTCTACGTTAATGGCAAAGAAGGCTCCGACAATGCCAAAACCACAGTGGCATCCCCCTTGGAAACTGTACAGAGTAAGTAGTAAATGCTCTACACAACTAAGTCTTGAGAAAATAAATATTAAATATTTGAAATATTTCATAAATATTAAAAGCAATTTTTAGTTTTCAGAAGAAGAAGAATCTTGATTGCAAAAGAGTTATTAGTGTTGATGGTATACTGTCACATGAGCAGAGGTCCATCAGTGGCTATTAGCCACAAGGTATAGATAGGAACTCACAGGCTGGGGCAGGTGATGCACTGTATTCTTGGTGCTTGGGGGGGGGGGCAACAGTGGGAGGGCTTCTAGTGTCCTGGCCTCACTGATGGACCTCCTGATGGCACCTGGTATTTTTGGCCAATGTGTGACAGAGTGTGGACTAGATGGGCCATTGGCCTGATCCAACATTGGCTTTTCTTATGTTCTTATGTTTCACCTAAGTAAAGTTTAAGACTAGGGCCAAGAATATCCCAAGTCATAAAGGGGTTTTTTGGGGCTTTTTTTAAAGTCTGGCTCTTCTAATTGTCTATTGGTTTTGGAGATTTTTTTGGGGGGAAGGAGTGCAAAAGTTTGGTATAAGGCATGGGACATAGTGCCTTGTTAGTCCTGGGATGGTCACTGTCAGTTTGTGGTTCTTTAGTATGTTTTTTTAAAACTGTCCTTACTGGCTCAGTTGTAAATTGAGCAGAAAGACAATCAAGGCTTACTTGAAACTGTGGATTATAATGCAGGAGAAGGAATCTGAGTCAGTGTATATAATAATTGTTTTGGTCATGGATGCTATAGTGCTACAAAATTAGAATCAGACTACCAGGATGTGTGTGGATTTTTGTATACTGAAAGGGGTAGCTGAATTGGAACAACTGCATTTGATGAAGATCATTTTTCCTGTACATAATATTCTGATACAGTCCTTCACCTGAGGTTAATAAATTATGAGCTACAGAGTATGTCATGACCAGTAGTCAAGACAGTACACAAACAGTGAGGTCCATCTAATGGTGAATGGTATAGCCTTGGAGTTAAACGCATAACCAGACTATCCATTGACAGAAACTGCCTTGTTTTATGTAAGCGTTTAAGCTGTACATGCTCATGTTTTGGTAGATAAACTTTAACCTGCAAGATCGTCTTGTAACATCTGCAGGTTATCAGCGGTCACTTGGGCTGGGTGAGATGTATTGCAGTAGAACCTGGCAATCAGTGGTTTGTTACTGGCTCTGCTGACAGAACTATAAAGGTAAGAGACCTTGAAGAAAATGCATGTGACATTTATATTGTTTCTAGGTACCTATAAATGTTTCTTCGGTAGTCCTCTGCTACACATTTTATTGCTTTCCTTTGATGTCCAAAATTTTGAGTTGTGCCTTGTGTCAAAACTAAGGTTAGCATTCGTACTAAAGTTGTCAGATTTTTCTGCTTTCAAGTAGGGATACTGTTTATATGCTAGTTAGGTCTTTGAGCTACTGATCTCAAACAAATTGGCAGGCCTTTTACTGGATGTTGATGCCTTGTCATTACAGATCTGGGACCTTGCTAGTGGAAAACTAAAACTGTCTTTGACTGGCCATATCAGTACAGTTCGAGGTGTAATAGTAAGTGGAAGAAGCCCATACCTGTTCTCTTGTGGAGAAGATAAACAGGTGAAATGCTGGGATCTTGAATATAATAAGGTAAGTTTAAACATATTGGCAGCAACTGATTTTTTTTCTGCAATTTAAAGTCACACAGCAGCATCCAGTTTTAACTGAAATGTTCTTTATCTATGTCAATAGGTTATTAGGCATTACCATGGTCACTTAAGTGCTGTGTATGGCTTGGATCTGCACCCAACAATAGACGTGCTTGTAACATGTAGCAGAGACTCAACTGCACGAGTAAGTAAATCAGACATTATTACGATGCCTTTGAACATACTTCTGTACACAAGATGAATTTTACATAAGTGCCTTTGCTAGCTGCTTCCATTTCAAAAGGTATAAATATTTCTGATGTCTCAAGTATGACGTTATTCTTAGGTCAAACATGAATCTCTCTGACAAACTTGGCCTTTGGCAGGATCAGTAGATGAGTTCTATATCTTACATACTGATAATAAGGAAACAGGTTACACTATCATATGTGAATATTGGCTCTTTCCCCTATTCTCCTCTGGTTCTGGGCTGTAGAGAGCTGACCCAGGGCATCCTCCCTGGCCCATATCCCAAGCCTTTATGAGGGCAGCCCAGTGAGTGTTCTAATCCTGTAGCTCTTCCCCCATCTCCCCAGAAGATTGCAGCTCCCACAGGAGTTGAAGGAATGCTGTGGCTTTGCCTTGGGTTTGGCTGCAGCCAGTCTGGTCTGACCCTGATGATGGTCACTTGGCATCTGGGCATTCTGCCCCTCCCTTGCTGCTCCAGTGGGGCACCAAGACTCAAGTGACAGTGAGGCTGTCCCCTATCCCTGAGCCCACCGTGGAGAACCAGGAACATTGGCACCTGGAGACTGGCAGCTGCTTCTTGGTTCCCACTCACAGACCCCAGAGTGTGCTCATAGAAAAATTAATTCTTGCTTTCTTCATACAAGATGGTTTATATATTTTTATAGTTGTTTTTTTCCTAGGGAAATATTGACCTTTTCTGCATGCTTGAGTGACTCCTGATTTTCTTGGGAGTCGATCCACAAGCACTGAAATCAGCTTGGGCAGGGTTCTTCTGGACATCTCCTTTCCCTGTGCATTTTTACAGTTGTGGAGTCTGCTTATTTTCTTCTGCACATGGCTTACACAATGAGGTTTTTCAAGGAATGGTGCAATCATCAGTGGTGCCAAAGCACCCCCGCATTTTAAAAAATGGCCCTAAAATATCAATATAGTACTGTAGTGTTGTAATGATAGTTCAAGCAGGTTCTCTGAATTCCCAGTTTTCATTTTTTAAAAAGTAAGTTTCTAGCCCTTTCCCTCATGTAGATATAAGGAAAAAGGCGTATCTCTGCAAGGGGAGAGGCTAGAGACCTTTTTAAAAAAATGAAAGCTAGGAATTCAGAGAACTTGCTTGAACGTATCATTATACAACACTACAGTGTTATGCTGATATTTTAGGGCTCTTCAAAAAAATTGAAATTACTTGTTTTTGAGGGGGGAGAGGGAGTTGTTTAATGTTGAGAGTCCAGTCATTGAAAAATGGGGTGGAGGTGGGTGAGACAAAAAAAATCAATAGAAACATTACAGATTAGGAAAAGGCCAACTCAGAATCAGCTTCCAGAAAAACATTGGGATAAAAGAGCCCGGAAAAACAATAAAAAGAAGTAAAAACTAAAGGCACAAAAATGCACGTGGGAATCAGGGATAAACCAAAACAGTATGGGGCCAGAACTGATGAAAATGTGGAAAGGCCATTGTTTCCTTTTAAGACGTCGTTGTTCATTCGCACAGTTAAGTCTGAGTTTTCATGACCCCGTGGACCACATCACACCAGGCCCTCCTGTCTTCTGCCGTCCTCCGGAGTTTGCTCAATTTCATGTTCACTGCATCAATGATACTGTCTGACCATCTTGTCCTTTGCTGTCCCCTTCTTCTTTTATCTTGAGTCATTCCCAGCTTCAGGGTCTTCTCCAATGAGTGCTCCCTCTGATTATAGCATTTGTCAGTTAACTTCTTTTCTGATGCTAGTTTATTTAATTTGTTGCACTGATAGGCCTTAAGTGGATTACAATTTATTTACATGAAACGTACTGGTATGCAAAGATGAATGCATGTTTCTGTCTGTGGAAAAGAAGAAGAAGAGAAGAAAAGATTGGATTTATACCCTGCCCTTCACTTGGAGTCTCAGAGCGGCTTACAAACTCCTTTCCCTTCCCCTCCCCACAACAGACACCCTGTGAGGTGGGTGGGGCTGAGAGAACTCTGACACAAACTGCTCTTTTTCAAGGACAGCTGTGCCAGAGCTTGCAACTGACCCAAGGTCACATCAGCAGGTGCAAGTGGAGGAGTGGGGAATCAAACCCGGTTCTCCCAGATTAGAGTCCAGACACTTAACCACTACACCAAACTGGCTCTCAAAAGCTTGTGTGTGTGTGTGTGTGTGTGTGTTAAGGAACTTACTGCTAATATTTGCTGTTGTGTGTGGTATTTGCTACAGTTGCATGTGGTATTTGCTACTCACATTATTAAATGCTTTGTGGTAGTCTTTTTTAAGTAAAGGTTCACAAGTGGATCCATGGCTGCACTGTCAATAGGAGACTCAGTTGTTAATAGTATGTACTGGAAATAGTGTAGACTGAGGTATTTAAAGAGAGCGAACACAACATTAGTTTTCTTATAAAGAATTGTGAGTCATATCAACACACTTCTGATTGCTTTAATTTTTGTGTTTCATTAGATTTGGGATGTAAGAACCAAAGCCAGTGTGCATACATTGACAGGACATACAAATGCAGTGGCAACAGTGAAGTGCCAAGCAGCAGAACCACAGATTATCACGGGTATGGTGGATATTGTTTTATGAAAATGGAGCACCATGGAAGCAGCTTACTTAATGCAAATTCTCCCTAATGTTTGTGCTCAGGCACCGTCTTGTTTCTGCAATGCAGCCAAAACAAACAAACAAAATGATTTTGTATCACTTTGAAGGTTATTAGATTTACTGTAGACCTTCGTAGGCACCTGGATCGTGGCGGCGTGGCGGCACTGGTGTTGTTGGACCTGTCGGCGGCGTTCGACATGGTCGACCACCAGCTGCTGGCCCGCCACCTCGCCGACGTGGGGATTCAGGGGCTGGGTAGTCTCGGTGAGGAAGGACAGACTATAAATAAATGAAAGAAGGACTCTCTTTCTTCTCCCAGGAGTTCAATGGTCATGTGCAAAACAGAGTAGGAAATATCACCTATATTCTGGAAAACTGCTGAATCCAAAGACTGGAAATGCCTTTCAGTAATTGACATGGTAGCGTTTCATAATCCCTTCCAGTTGAACTTGAAGCTCAGGATTCTTTGGCCTACTATGTGGAAGGAACAATTTTTGTTTTATACCATGTCGTTTCTCGAGCCCTTATCCCAATAATCTACTATTTACTGTATTTCCGTGTGGTTGATAAGGAATGGGTGTTTCTTGCTCATTGTTGGAACGGCAAATACAATTTTATTCCGTTTGTAATTCCCTGGGATTTTTATTCATAATTTCTTAACTCCAGGAGTTCTTTAACACCTTGCTGTCAACTATTTTGATGAAACTGAATACCATTTCCCCTCCGTCAAGTCGCAGCCATCTTATGGTGGCCTCAGAGGGTTTTTAAGACGAGACATTCAGAGGTGATTTGTCATTGCCCACTTCCGCATGGCAACCCTGGACTTCCTTGGTGGTCTCCCATCTAAACGCTAACCAGGGCTGACCTTGCTTAGCTTCTGAGATTGGGCTAGCCTGGGCCATCCAGGTCGGGGCAGATGCTAAATACTAACTCGGGCCCTGCGGGACTTAGTGCAGTTCCGCAGGGCCTGCAAGACGGAGCTCTTCCGCCAGGCTTTCGAGGGGGAGCCGCCGCCGCCGCCACTGTTCCATCAATGATATTTCCAACCATCTACCCCATATAGTAGGGGTAGATGTCGCCCAATAGAGCTGGGGGAACATTCTTCCTGGTGCTTCTGCTGTAAAGAACTGCCGCCAATGTGGGATGTTGGCCATCTTGGATTTTATGTAAATTAATTAGCACCAAATTTTATGTCAGATATATTGTTTTATCATGTTGTTGTTTGTATGTACATTTTAACCTTTGTAAGCCGCCCCGAGCTGAATATTGGATGGGGCGGGATATAAATCCCAAAATAAATAAATAAATAAATAGATGAAGCTTTCATGGGCCAGAACACACTTTTTCAGGTGCAAGAAATTTTCAAAAATGGCAATGGAATGGGGAAACTTGAAAGCACAACAAAATTGAGCTGTATGGGTCTACAGCATACTTAGTTCTAAGTTTCTGTTACCTTGGTTACCTTCTTCAGTGCTTCTTTTTTATTACAGGAAGTCATGATACCACTATACGACTCTGGGATTTAGTGGCAGGGAAAACTCGTGTCACTTTAACAAATCATAAGAAATCAGTAAGAGCAGTTGTACTGCACCCAAGACAGTAAGTTTTTTTCCATTCATTTTATTTTTCAATGCTGATATAAAATGGCTATAGTCATCAACCTCTGAAATTTGTGGAAAACTAGGTTGTCTTCCTGTCCCCTTCCCTTTGCTAAAAAGTCAGATTTGAGGGGGAGTACAGAAAAAGTATTATGAAACACTTGCTCTTTTAGCATTATGAGTGAAATGCTTTCTTAAGACAAGGTTTTGCTTTAGATGTTCTTTACGCCATCACACTGCTTTCTAACAGTGATAAGACTACATATTCTGTTTGTTAGATTACAGTGCAATTCTGTTCAAAGTTAATTCTAGTCTAAGCCTAGTGGGTTTACACTGGAGTAACTCTGCCTAGGAATGTGAAATTCCTGTATACTTGTGGCAACTCTTAAATCCTCTTGCCCACTTAAGACTCCACCATCTTCTGCACCATATGAAAAAACTGGTATATGTTTGAAAATACGTATGCCAAATCAAGAAACAACCTGTCCTGTGAAAGAGTAGAGAGATTATGTCAGTCCATGCAGATATATGCTAAGCATGCAGCAAAAATCTTTAGAGCTGATGTAGTAACAGAAATGGTAGAGTTGCTGTTGAAAAGTACTGTGTAACTCCCTGTGTAACAGGAAACTAGTTGCACTTGAAGTATGGTTTGATCCAGAGAAGTGTGAGCAGTGTTCTCATGTGTCATAAGTTTTCTGTGCCCAGTGTACAGCAGAATTCTATGCCCATTCACTTCAATGGACTCAGAAGGGGCTCAGCTCTGCTTAGGATGGCACTGATGGTCTCTCAGTCCTCCCAAATTGTGCTCCTGAAATTGTCACCTTGTGATGCAGCATTTGATATGGTGCAGGGGTCTGCAGCCAGAAAGGAAAATTGGCACACACCCATTTGCCTGCACCCCAGTACCTTCTTCTTGAACGTGGGGGTTTGGTTGTGAATCCAGGGTTTACCAGTTATGCTTGGTGCTTACCATGGTAGTATTTAAAGAAAAATTAAACCTGAATTCAGAACCTGAGGACAATTGTTTCAGATAACTAGCGTTTACATTGGCAGATTTTTCCCCCTTATTTCATGTATATGTTTGCACACTTAGGCAGCTGTAATAAAATGGTATATTAAAATTATTAATCGTATACTGTCATTGTTGGTCTATCAGACTATTTACAGAATACTTTCTGACGCTAAACACAACTCTTGTTACAGGTACACATTTGCATCTGGTTCTCCAGATAACATTAAGCAGTGGAAGTTCCCTGATGGAAACTTCATCCAAAACCTTTCTGGTCATAGTGCTATTATCAATACACTGGCTGTGAATTCAGATGGAGTTCTGGTGTCTGGAGGTACAGTGGGAATGTTACAAATAGTTTGTATGGAGTTGGGCATTTTGATAGATCAAAAGGTTGGACAAGTAATTTTTAAACTAACTTTAATCATAACAAAACAAATTAGTTAACTGTTACTGTGAAGCAATGCTACCAACTCCTTTTTTTTTAAAGTATTCCAACATCTTAATGAAGTTGTTAACAACCCTGTCCTGAGAAATGTTTAGGCTGCACTGTAAGGGTATTATTTGTTGGGGCTTTTAATGGGGTGAGCTGTGGTTGTTTCATTGGAGAGAGAAGA